CCAAGTTATTGGATGAGATGATTAGAGAGCAGTATGAGTAATGGGTCAAAGTATGACCAATACTAATCAGATTATTTTAATGATCCAGTTCAAGTCAGCTTGAGTCTTTCAATTATCAGCTTGAATCATCAGCAGGAACCTTTAATTATTGGCTTGAGCTTTTTGAGCTGAGCCTATTGTTGACTCACTTTACTAGCCAATATTATGTTATTCTGACAATAATGAACAGTAAAAAGAATAATCAGAATAATAAGGGTCAATACTAATGCCAGAATCAGAAATGCCATTATCATCAGTATCATTATCACTGGCAGAACTGCTGCCAGAACCACCAGTACCATATAACCAATATCATTTCTGATAACATTACCAGAACTATTATCAAAATCATTTGTTCATTATCATTAACAGCTTCTATATTACTGTACCAGAACTATTACTAATCCTTATCATTATTATGATAATTATAATTGTGAATGTGATTATAGTTTCATTTTGAATCTTGACAAAATGAACAATATAGGTCAGAAAAAAATTGGTATTGTTCAATACAGTTTTGATGGAATAAATGTTTGCATATTAAAACAGTGATTGGTTTTAAAAGTTGTGGTAGTATTTCCTCTTTGCAAATTCCACAAAGATATAAGTTTTAAAAATTAAACTTCTCTGGAATACATTTAGTGCTCTCATGGAAAATAATTTCCATTTCTATTTTGCTTCAATTCAACCTGTTTAAAAGGTAAGGTTAACATTATACCAACTTTTCATTTAGTAATAAAGAAAGGTATTCCTCCACTAAAACTAATAGTCCCTTACTAATAACAAAGTTTGAGCACCTGGCAGTAATCCTTCAAAGTTAAAATGAGAGCTAGCTAGAAGTTACCCTCCCTTTACAAAATAAAAAACACATTTTTTTCTAACTCAGCAAAAGTATTTTGATCTAATTTTTGAGCCTCTATCAAAAATTGATAGGACCAGATGCTATTAAAGTCATTCCAATTTAAATTAGAAGATGAAGAAGCAACTATGACATTATGGTAGTTCTGCTCTAAAAATCCTCTATATGACCTGTTTATTGAGATCCCAAGTACACAATGAGAGCTAAAAGTTGATATATTGTTTCATGATTAGACATTGTTTAACAGAAGTTGATTTCTTAAAAGTTTTGAAAAAATCAAAGATGAAGATATTTGGAAATCAGTTTTTTTTTTGGTTTAGTAAGGATATCAGATATAGGAAAAATGGTTTTAATTTAATAGTAAAAGTATAAATTATTAAGCAATTATGGTAAACTTTTAAGCTTTTATATATTGTATTTATGATCACAAATCAGATGATTAGTGCAACTTGACATAAGGCAAACAATATGAAAATCTGGATATGTGTGTCCACTTTGCACAGTAATAGTGGCACAGTAAATGATCTATTTTTGTTCTGCTTCCTATTACACGGTTAACATTATTATCAGATAAATTCTAGTGGATAAAGATCTAATTTGTGCTATTTTAAATTTACCAATACTATTAAAAAGCTTATAAACCTTTTCAGCCTTTTTATCTTTCACAAAGAATCATCAGAGTGAGTGGTTCTTAATACAATCAGTATATAGACAATAAACACATCTTAAGAATGCATTGATGGTTATTAATAGTTATCAGCACAAAGGCAAGATTATTGTGTTTGACTTAGAAAGCCAAAGATGATCCTTTAGCAATTTGGTTAAAGTTTACACTCTGTTGAATCTGTAAAAGGAGAGAATTATAAGAAAAGTGCAAAAAAGAAAAGTTCAGATCTTAAAGGTTAGTTCATAGCTCCAAAAATCTGATAGTTGAAGGTTTGATTTTTGCTTTGCAGGAAAATTTATCTGTAAATTTCAATGATAAAAACCGTTGAAAATAGGACATAACATCACATTAATTTATTTCTTCTACGTATCATCCAATTTTTTATATTTTTTAGCTACCATTTAAATTTTATCGATTAAATTTTTCTGTTGATTCTTAATTTCCGTATTTCCAGAGCATTCTAAGTTTCTAACATCAACTGTCCTCTTTCAGAGAACTCCGATAAATCAAAACGTTTTAATTTTGTAAAAAAATCTAAAATATTCAATTTTACATTCAAAATTAAAAAACATCTGGAACCTCCGACGTTAAAAAAGTAACGAAAAAATCACTGATTTAATTAAGGAGATGTTAACGAATAATTTGTTCAACCAAAACTGTGACATCTTACCTAATGCTATGAACTGCTATATAATTGTCTGAATAAAGCGTCAAACTTGGGATAAACGTATTTGAATTCAACGTTAAAGCCTGGAAATTTAGTCTTCTTCATTATTTCTGAGTTAGATAATTTTCACTGGAGATCGGTGTTCTTGTTCTTTTTTTTGGATGTTAGTTTTTACTTTTTTTCTTTATTTCATAGCGTATCTCTTTTAAAATGGTTCGGATGATTTCATGTTCTGCCTTATCTTCATGTTTTTTTTTCGGTAAAAAAGAGAAATTTTTCTTTGGATATTTCCTATATGTTCTGAGTTGTACGAATTTACACCCTCTCAAGAACAAACGTCAGATTGCAGGGAAATTTAACTGCAATTTTAAAGACTCAAATCATACGTCCCATTTGGGTGTTTAACAATTTTCAGTTACCATTTAAGGGATACTGATATATTCACTGGAACAATTTATCCACTATTTATCCATTGTATCGTTTTATTTGTTGAATCTGAGATATTTATTAATTGCGTTTTCTCAATCAAAATGGATTTTTTATGATTTACCGACATTATCAGTTTTTTTACCCATGTTACAAAATTCTAAATAATTCTAGTAATACGTATAAGTTTGTACATTAATAAATATATATACACTCCCAATGTATGTTAAGATTTCCCGTAATACTCATCCTTTATATTATTTGAGCCACCAAAAATTCTAATCGTAAAAAAAAAAGTATCAATCTATTCGAACAAAATGTTCATAGACTCAATTCTTGGTCATAAAAAATATTTAAACACTAAACTCGATTTATACTGGGAATTTGATCATTAAAATATATTTCTGACGAAAAACCTGGAAGTGTACCAAAAACCTAACTCATTTTGGAACGGAAAAATTATTTCAACCAAATAATGATATCGTCTTATTCTAGTATCGAATTTTTTATCGTGATCCTAGGTTTTACATCCTACTGCAGAACCACTAGCAGTGATTTATAAAAGTGTACGAAATTTGTGAAGTTCGAATTGAATAAAAACTCTTTTTTTTTGTCGCTTCATAGACTGTTAAAATGTACGTGATTTTGTATTAAAGTGTAATGGCTGTAATGCGGTAAAAATATCAAAATATTTTGATATTTTTATGGTCATGGAAAAAATTTTTATAAATAAAAAATACATAAGAATACCGAAATAATTAGTTTCATTTTCCAATCGTTTTTACAGCTATTTGCTGATCATAATTGATCGGCAGTAATTCCGGTCAAGTCATTATTTTGGCCAGAATTAACATACAAATTATGCCGATCAATAATAATCTCCTGCGTATGACTGCGCATGAAGCTGTGGTCCATTCTTTAATTAGCTGAAAATCCGTAATGTAATTAATTCGTAATTCGTTCATGAAACGGAGAAAAAATGTACATTCAATACAAGATTGTCTCATTATAATATTTTTTTTTCTTCAAAATTCATTTTCGTATTATTTGTAAACGTTCTTCTTTATAAAGTAAATAAAAAAGATAAAGATTACTATTTATTTATAGTATCCAAGGAATATTTAATATTTTATTTATAAATGTGTGTTGTTGATACTTATAAGAATTCGTAAGTAGTTTTAATTGACAACAATACAGTATTATTGCGTAATAACATTTATTATTACGTAATACTAAGTAATAATCGAAGAATTTATTATAGAAATTGTAGAAAATAATTTATAATAAATTTTTAATTCACAATAATAATTTCTTCTAATTTCTATGCAGAAAAGTTCAATCGATAAAATTTATTTATTTCTATTTACCAAATCATTTAATTTTCATTAATGTCTTTTAATAAATTCTTCTATTTTAATATTTTCAATTAGTTTTATATATTCATTTTTTTACTCTAAAGAAATTACTTATAACAACTTTCAGTTATTAATACGAGGCTAATATCATTGAATAAACAGTGCAAATTTCTATATTAAGTAGATTTATTGGGAAAGCTCAAAGTAGCAACGTTGCACAACTATGCTCAATTTTGATATAAAACTAAAAAAATGTTTCCTATACGCAATTTTAATTCAGATACTATATATCGTTATATCAGAGTTTGACTGTACGCAAGTTTTTGAGTGTAATTTAAGAATTAGGAAAAGTTTGAACGTACCAAAAATAAAAAGCTGGTTTTGCGATACAAGCTTTGGAAATTTCTGGAAAGTGCTGGATACCGACATCGAATTTGATTAGATTATCACATCATTTACTATTTTTTGTAATGCGAATAAAGAAACACTTAAATCTTTTTTCTATTACTATATAGTAAATATACCTATATAGTATATAACGACAGTAAAGGTTCGGGTTTGGTTTAAATAATTTAAATTAACATTTGCAGTTTACTTTTAATTGATTACGCAATAAATCAATGAAATCAAATTTTGTTCTGTTAAAATGGTCAACTCAAAATCAAACTTCGGCTCAAAGTGTATGTAACTGAACCATGAGTCAAGTAAATTGTTCGAATCGATTGAGCATGTTAAATTCTTTATCTTGTAATATAAATCAAATTTTTCTTGCTATTGAATAATGTAATTTAATTCATAAAACTTTTCATTTATCGACTTTAAAAGCAAGATAAAAAACCATGTAAAAAAAATCGTTTCAGCTGGATAAATAAATAAATGGGTCACGCCATAATCATCATTCGTAATGCAGTGCATATATATATACAAACCCTATTTTTTACTCTAATAAAAATATAAATAATATATTTTAGAAGTTTATTAAGACGATAAATATATAACTAAATATACATTATATTCATTTCAATGATAAAAATAAATAATAAGAAACTTATAATTAACCAAATAATATACATTCGACGTCATATTTTTTTGATACTTTTAATGTTTTCTGTCTACAAACAAAACAAGTTCCCTCACATTTACAATCAAGATATTTTATTTTAATTTGATTAATTTTTTGGCTCAAAAAAATTGGATTATAATCATTATTTTTTGATAAATATAAACTAACATATTTTGGATCATTACTATTAGGTTTAAGATCAATATATGATGGTTTTCTTGATGGTAATTTAGAATTAAAAAGACGCGATGCATAAAAATTAGGATCAGGATAATTAGAAATAATAAGTGTGCAGAAAGTAACTTTGGGTAAATCGACATAACACTTTTTTTCTAAACAATAAGAAAAAATATCTATTTTATGTTCACTTTCGACTTTGCGAAAATTATGTCCTATTATGAGTGACTTGGTTAAATTTTCTAATACTGGAATTCCAAAGAAAGGAATATTTTTTGCCAGCATCAAATCAAGTTTTTGTTGTAATGGTATGCTATGAAATTTACAAGGATTTTGTGGATCATAATCATTTTTTATTAATTTGACACCAATAGTATTTGGAAGTATGAAATTAAAATTTGTATCATATCCACTAATCATTATCCTAACTTTCAAGTTATATCTACATTGTTTAAAATCTTTTCGGATACCATGAATTATAATACATGGTTTTGCACTTGGTTCTCTTAAAATTTGACAGTTAAAAAAAACATTTTTTGAATTTTCATTAGCTTCATAAACTGATGCAAAGACATCACAATCAGCTTCTTCATCATGAATGATTTCTAAAATATCCTGTGAAATATTGTTTAATTCAAAAACATTATGCCTTCCACATTCATTTAAATGATAAACACAATCTTCAGTATTAGTGTGAATGATCCTCTTTCCAATAGTTTCAAAGGTTTGTTTACGCAATTCATCATCTAAGAGCTGAAAAATGCTAATGGGATTTCTAAATTCAATACACTCCCAATTTTGATAATCTTTTAAAGATTCAATCCAAGCTTTTTCATCAAAATTTTTATCATCAGGATGCTTTCCTCCAAGTAATTTTATATGATTGAAATTATAAAATTCCGAAGTTTTTTCTGAATTATTAAAATCAACTCCTACATTTGCTCTTGAAGATCCGACACCTATATTTCCAGAAACGTTATTAGAGGTATCTGTTAAACTGGTAGATGACTTTTTAACATCATTAAAGTAGACTCTTCCTCCTAAAATAACTTCAGTTGGAATGAGTTGACCATATTCTTCGGTAATTTTCTTAAATACTTCTATAGGATTTTTGGAATTTATGGCATTTTTTACGTCCGTTTCAAATTTGTCAGTTAATTTTAAATCCGTTTTGTTGAATTTCAATGACACTTTACCAATTTCCGTATATTGATGAGTTGACATATCTTCTTTTTTAAAACTTTTATTTCGTAAACTTCCGACTGATAACCCTAACTTTACAAAATTCTTTATGTTAATCCCATCGACATTAAAAAATAAATTTGTTTTCTTCATCCAATCTTCTTCCGATTTAAATTCAAGTTGAGGTTTTTTATAACTATTAATTTCTTTTAACTCACATTGATTTATTTTATATGCTTGTTTTTTAGCTATCTTAATTCCATCAAAACTCATAATTCGTCCATAATCTAGTTTGTGTTGATTACTCAAAAATTCCCAATAAACCCGTTTTAAATATAAAATATTTTGATCATTTTCAATTTTTATAACTTCTTTTAAATGAAATTTTTCTTCATTTTCACGTTTCAACTCACCGAATTCGTTATTTTCTTTTTTTGAAAATAATAGCATATCATTGATGACATCGCCACTTTCGAGTTCTTTACGAATTTCGGATAAACGATCTTCTGAATTTAATTTTTTCATAATATGACCTTGTAATAGCGAATTATCAATAATTTTAATAAATACATTAATTTCTTTAGAATTTTCTTTTTTAGCCGTCAAATATAAAGTATCTTGACCGTTTTCAACTGTTAAAGTTTCATTTAAAAAAAATTTTTCTTCATCTTCACGTTTCAATTCACCGAATTCTTCGTTTACTTTTTTTGAAAATAATAGATTATCATTAATGACATTGCTACTTTCGAGTTCTTTACGAATTTTGAATAAATGATCATCTGGGTTTAATTTTTTTATAACATTATCTTGTGATGGTGAATTATCAATAATTTTAATAAACACAGTAATTTCTTTTTCTTTTTTATTTAGTATTGTAATATAAAGTATTACAAAAACTATAACACAAATGAATATAATGAATATATAGATTAACATTTCTTCAAATTTTTCCGGAAACATTTTTTTAAAAAAGCTATTGTTCCGAACGATTATTTATTTATTTATATTTGGTATAAATCCTGTTTAACATAGCACAATTTTATGATTACACAGATTACACAAATAATATTGTGGTCAAATGACTTACTAAGATCTGTAAATCTTTCTTGATTTAGCAAAAAAAGAGGAGTTGACTTACCGCCAAATGAGTTACACCTAAACCTAATATAGAAAAGGTATTCGTCTTATTTTATTTTACGTAAATATATAAATATAACGATACCAATTGTCATTATTCCATAATGCCATAATGGATATTTTAAGAAAATTGATTGATGAAAAGATTAATAGAGGAGATATTGATTGCTTTGATATTAATGAATTTAGCAATTTGGAAAAAATTGATAAAAGAATTCATGGAACTCTAATAAAAGCTAATTGGGAGAATCGAAAGATTACCATCGTATTAAAAAATTTGAATAATTCAGATATTACCGAAAGTAGCTTTAAAGAATTTATTACGAGGGTGTGGATGACATTTATTTTTTTTTTTTGTATTTTTTACGAAGAAATTATTAAATATTTAAGAAATTTATTTTACAATACAGTTACAAGCTTTTTGTAAAATTGATCATTCAAACGTCAATCATTTTTTCGGGTTAACGAGAGGTCTGTCAATATTAGGCCATACAAACTTAATTTTTCGGTTCTCATATCTTGGCCGGGTCAGTTTTTGTTAAATTTCAAAAAAAAATTTTTTTATTATTACTATACCGAGTAAGATCTTTTTAAAAGTTAAAAAATATTTCATATGAATTTTACATATAAAATTTTTGAAAAAAAAAAATCAAAGCTGGGTTGCCGGGTCATCGTTATTATGAGAACCGAAAAATTAAGTTTGCATGTCCTTAATTATATATTTTTATCGTCTTTTATATTAATCGTTACTCACGAATTTTTTTAAAATAATAGACTCAAATGACAATTATTTTTTAATATCGGAATATGCTATCGAAGGAAATTTAAAGAATTACTTGAAAATAAAATTTAATACATTACAATGGGATGACAAATTACAAATAGCACTCGATATCACTCGTGGATTAATGCGCTTACATTCCGAAAAAGTAATTCATGGAAATCTGGTAAATAAAATTTTATTAAATTTTTAATTTTGGTTATCTAACGCCTTAACTAATATTTATTAATTGTTAATCGTTAAGCATTCACGTAACATATTGGTTAATAATGGTATGATGATGATAACGGACTTTAGATTACTCAATCAATCGGCAGAAGTTACATCTGAATATGAAGTTTATGTCGAGCCTCGGTATCTTCGCAATCCAGGTTACGAACTAGACATGAAATTTGATATTTATAGTTTGGGTATTCTTTTGTGGGAATTGGCGAGTGGACGTCCCCCATTTTTTGATTATACACAGAAGGCAGCTCAAGTAGAAAATAAACTTCTAAATGAAGAGAAAGAGAAATCAGATGCAAATATACCTTCGGAATATCTGCAACTTTGTCAAAAGTGTTGGCAAGATAATTCACACCTGAGGCCTGAAATTAATGAAGTTTATGAAATTTTATCTCAACTAGAATTACAATCCGGTATTAGTGGAAAATTCAACACTCAAGTAATATACAATAAAAACTTATTTGATATGTCATCATCGCCACATACAGCAAAAATTACTCTGGAAATATTTGCAAGCTCAATGCAACAACTAATTAGACAATTTAAGTTGAATCATGGGATAGTTTTAAACGGACACGATATAATTCCGAGCTTAGAAGGGATTGTTACTGAAGATGGAGAAATAAAAGTGAATTTATGTGAAAAACAACCTTTAGTATACACGTCTATTAATTTTGAAGTTAGTGATTTAAGAATAGACGCATGCGTTAATTTTCCAATTGCAGAAATCATTTATAATGGCAATTTGTTAAAATCCTTTTTTAAGTATACAAATGATAAAAAGAAATTACGTGAATTGCATGGTGATTTTCTTGCAAGAAAGTTTTTGGTTGGTCAAAGATATTAATTCAGCGACTCCGGCACAAATTGATATTTTAAAATTTTATTTATCCTGTGTATATAATTCAGCTAGATATTCTATAGAAATCCAGTCCAGTAATTTATTCACTTTGGATCTTTTACCAAAATTAGTAACATCGGACTAGGGATGGCAACGGTCACGGTCATTAACCGGTTATGACCGGTCATGACCGTGACCGATATCGGTCGGTCAAAGACCTCTGACCGACCGTTTGACCGACCGGTCTGACCGACCGGTTAACCGACCGTTTGACCGACCGTTTAACCGATCCTGAAAACGTTTGCGAAACGTAATTTAATAAAAAAAATGTTTCACAAACGTTTTTTTAATTATTTTAATAGAAAACGTTGCGAAAACGTTTTTTATTAAGTATTTCAATTAAATTACGTTTCGCAAACGTTTTCAGGATCGGTTAACCAGTCGGTCAAACGGTCGGTTAACCGGTCGGTCAGACCGGTCGGTCAAACGGTCGGTCGGTCGGTCAAAGGTTCTTGACCGGTTATGACCGACCGATGACCGACCATGACCGACCGTTGCCATCCCTACATCGGACGGGGAAAAGATAAATACTTATGAAAAGCTAACCAGTTATATGAATAACTTGTATCAAAAAAAAATGGTTAGCATAATTTCTTATGATAACCTTATTCTCATTTCTCGATTAAGGCTCAATGAATCATTGGTAATAGATAGTGATCTTGAGACTTTTAAAGAAATACAACCTGGGATTGTTAATTTTAATGAAAAGTTAAGTTTAGACGAGTGGGTTGGAAATGCAGTAAATAAAAATTTAATTAGTTGGACTAGGGATTTCAAACTTTTTCAGGGACTTATAATTAATAAATATGATGAAATAGAAATTAGCAAGAAAACTCCCGTTGACGTCATTGAAGTTCCTAAAGTCAATTTAAATAATAAATCATATCTGAAAATTATCAATTCATCAACAAATTTAGAATTTGCTTTGATTTCAAATAATATTTTTCCATTTAAAAATTTAAGTGCTTTTCCATTTGTTAAAAATGATAAAAGCGATAAAGGTTATGATCATGATCATGTTCTAATCAAATGCGAGAAATATGAAATTTTCTTAAATACGAATAATATAAAACCTACAAAAGAGTTTGAGCAATCTATAGAAGAAGCGCTTAATAGTATGAAGCCATTAAAAGCTTTACAAGTTGTGCATGATGAATATGGTCACTTATTTCCACAAAAGATTGTGTTAGGAAAGTCTCTTAAGAATCTTTTACAAAATTTTCCACCTACTACATTGGATATTGATGCTAATGACATACTCGGATTGTCAGATAAATTAAATATTTCGTATCTTTTAACACAAAAGGGGAGAATTATTGAAAAAAATGAATTACGCGATTGGATCCAAAATATAAATAATCATTTGGAAGTTGTTGAATTTGATAATATTATTCCTCTTTATAAAATTCTTGGAGTCGAACAACAAAGAAAAATAGATGATATATTAAAAAATAATTTCAGGATTATAATGACAGGAATTACTGAATTAACAGATTCAAAAAATAATATTGAGAATTACAAACGTATAAACTTCGGACTATCATTGGAAAGTGAAAATTATGAAGTATTTGGATCAATAATTTCAGAAAATAATACGAAATTAGAAGAAATTTATGTTAATTTTGGATTATATGATTTTAATGGATTTTATGCGATAATAAAAGAAGTGAAAGAAACAAGCATCGATATAACAAAATGTTATGTTTCGTGGGTTGCTGTTGGAAAGCCTTTTCGAATATCAGTTTTTAGTCCAAAAAATCGAGAATTACAAGTCAATTATATTGAAAAATCTGTAAAGTTGCAACTTAGAAAGTCGAATTATATTTCTATTGACACTTCCTTTGACTTACACGAAGGATATACTGTCTTTGTACATGCAAATCATTCATCACTAAATTATGAACCCAATAATATTATTATTAGGTTAGTTGAATGGAAAACAAGATCTATTAACTAACGTTCAAATTGAATCATCTCATACAATTCAATCAAATACAGATGGTTCAAGTTTGTCTGACAATGATTCCATTCCTGAAGATAATGATTTATATTCGGCAAATGAAATAGTTTTGCGCATATGTATTCTTTCTACAAATTATAAAAGTTTGAAAATTGATAATGTCAAAGAAAAAGAATGTCATTTAGATTTAATAGGATATCTTTTGATCGAGGAAAATTTTATTGGAAGTTCATTTATTGAAAGTGATGAAGAATCAAATGATAAAGGTATTTTTGTAATTTTTTTGTAAGTTAATAAATTACCCAACCTACCTTAATAATAATTGAATTACTGTATTTTATATAACTTATAGTGATTGATGAAATTATAGTTAGTAAGTTATCAGTTATTTATTTCTTTTATTGTATTTTACGTAATGTTAATTCTTTGTTTGTATAATCATTTTAATCAATGATACTATAGAAGGTAAGTTACTTAATTCTATATTTATTTAATATTTTCCTATAACTCAAACTAACTAAATTTTTTTGTTTAAATAAATAGATTGTAAGTGATATATTTGATTTTATACTGTTAATAATTAAATTATTTTATTAATAATTAATAATATTATAGGGTGTAAGTTATATTTTATCTATATTTTTGTAAATAATTCAAATTAACAGACTTCTTTTTTTAAAAAATGATTTAATAATATAGGGAGTAAGTTACAAATTATTTATTTAATTCTATTATAATATTTCTATGTAATATAATCTATACTAACTAAATTTTTTATTTATAAAATTATTTGTGAATCATTTTAGATAGTAAGTTATTTATTTAATTCTATTATTACATGTTTGGATATATTTAAACTAACTAAACCTAAACTCTGTTCAAAATATTATTTTATAATTTATATAAGATGGTAAGTTGTTTTTTACCATTACATATTAATATAATTCATAAATTAACTAAATTTTTTATTTAAAAAATTATTTGATAACTTATTTTAGATTGTAAGTTATAAGTTGTTTATTTCTATTATTATAAATTTATGTATAATTTGAACTGATCAAGTTCTTTATTTAAAAAATTTTTTGATGATTTATTTTAGATTGTAAGTTATTTATTTAATTTTAAAAACACTTACATATAATTTAAACTAACCTTTATTTTTAATAATATATTTCAGATCGTAAGTTTAAAACAATTTAATTCTATTATATATTAATTAAATATAATTTAAACTAATTAATTCTTTATTTAAAAACTATTTAATAATATAGGCAGTAAGTTATTTATTTAATTTTATTATCAAATATTTATATATAATACTTAAATATATTTAAACTAAAATTATTTAATATAGGAAGTAAGTTATTTACTTGACTTTATTGTACACATCGTACACATCCATACAATATTAATATAATTTAAAATCCCTAAATTTAAAAATTATTTGAAAATGTAGGAAGTAAGTTATTTACTTAGTTCAATTATTGCACAATTATATAAAATTTATATATGATTTAAACTAATTAAATTCTTTTATTTAAAAAATTACTTAGATGGTAAGTTATGAGTTATTTTATTTAAATTTGAAAGATTCCATATACTTATACTAATATTTATTTATTTATTTAAAAAATATTGATAACTTGTTTTAGATCGTAAGTTATAAATTAATTTAATTATATTATATAATATTTATAATTTATATATAATTTAAATTAAATTTTTTTTATTTAAATATTATTTGATAATATAGGAGGTAAGTTATTTATTTAATATTATTATCATGGATTTATATGATATTTATATATTTTCTAAAATAAATTTTTTATTGAAAAATTTTTAAATAAAATAGAAAGTAAGTTTTTATATTAAATTTTTACACATACTTGTATTTAATTAAACTAATTAAATTTAAATTTAATAATATAGGACGTAAGTTATTATTTTTTTTAATATTTATGTATATTTTAAATTGATTAATTCTTTATTTATGAAAATTATTTAAATTAATTAATAATGTAGGAAATAAAATTCATTTAAGTGGTAAGTTATAATTAATTAATTCTTTATTTAAAATTGTTCAATCATATAGAAAGTAAGTCATTTTATAGTATTTATTTATTTGTATAATATTTACATATAACTTTAACTAAATTGTTTAAACAATTATTTGATAACTCATTTTAGGTTGTAAATTATTTATTATTATTAATTGTATATTCTATTTATAATTTTTCCTTGATTTTATAAAAAATTGATAATTTACTTTAGTTGGTAAGTTATATATTTTGGATTATTATATATTAATTATGTTAAAAATTAAATTCATATTTTGTTAAATTTCCATTTAATTTTAGAGTAAGTATTAATATTATTTTCTTCAATCTTTTAAATTTTATAAACAAATTTTAATGATTTTAATTATGAAATTTATAGATCTGAAAGATCTGAAAAAAGTGGAAATGCAATTTTAGATGAATTTATTTCTAAAAGAAATTTAAAATGGATATCTTGTAATAAATTTAAAAATGTTGAATATCTTACCAAAGGAGGATTTGGTACTACATATAAAGCTATTTGGTTAACAAAAAGTGGAGATATAGAAGTGGTCCTTAAATGTAACAAGTTGGATGAAAATTTAGATTATTTTTTGAATGAAGTATAATAATGTTTATTTATTTTTATTTGATTTAATTATAAATTCATTTTAATATTTTAATATATCTGATTTTTTTTATAGTGGAAATATCATGAAAGTTGTTTAAATTCATCTGAAATTATTAATTTATATGGATTTACAAAAGACCCAGATACTTTGAATTATATGGTAATAATGGATTATGCAAATAAGGGTAATTTAAGAGAAAATTTAACAAAAATAATTAAATATAATTGGAAACAAAAATTATATATGTTGTATCAAATTATTTCTGGACTTAGTGAAATACATAAACAAAATTTTATTCATTGTGATTTTCATGATGGCAATATTTTAATTCATAAAGATAAAAAGGATAAAGAAGATAAAGAGGATGAAAGGAATAATGTTTATATTTGTGATTTTGGATTATGCCAACCTGTAAAATCTTCTTTGAAATATAATATTTATGGTGTTTTACCATTTATGGCTCCCGAAGTTTTAAGAGGTAAACCTTTTACTCAAGCTAGTGACATATATAGTTTTTCTATGATCATGTGGGAATTTACATCTGGAGTTCCACCATTTAATAGTAGTGCACATAATATTGAACTTAGCTTAAGTATTTGTAAAGGTGAACGTCCTGAAGTTATTGAAAATACTCCACAATGATGTTATGTAGATTTGATGGAAAAATGTTGGAATGAAGATCCATTAGAAAGACCATCTGCATTAGAAATTAAAAATATTATTGGAAATTGGATCTTCTATTCTTCTGATAAAATTAATGATGAATTATTAGGCAATATTATTAGGGATGGCAACGGTCACGGTCATTAACCGGTTATGACCGGTCATGACCGTGACCGATATCGGTCAGTCAAAGACCTCTGACCGACCATGACCGACCGTTGCCATCCCTAAATATTATGGAATTTATAAATGCACCAATTGAGCATAACAATCTTGCTATTGAAACTCATTTAAAAGCAGTTTATACAAGTCAATTACTTGTTTTTACTAGTAGAAGATTGTTTGATAGTGAAGATTCACAAGTATATGAAATCTCATTAAGTGAAGATTTGAATGATTGTATAATAGATACAGGTTTATTACTAGGTACGTAATTAGTATACTATATGTTGTAGGTGGAAATGGAATCTATGTAGATTCCGAATTCACATGTGTGAATACAGGATTGGCCAGAATTAAAGAATAGTGTCAGACTAGGATTTCATAATGCTGGGCATTGCTGGCCAAAATCCAACCATATACAACATATATAAGAAAAAGTAATTTGACAAATTATTTATGTGAAATTAATTTTATTTATTTACTAATTATTTAGGTTTATTTGATTTTAATGAAAAATTAAATGAAATTCTTAAAAATAAAGAATTACAAGTATATGAAATCTCAACAAGTGAAGATTTGAATGATTGCTGCATCAGATGTTACTTCTGAATATTTTGCTATAAATAAACTATTTTTTTTTTATTAATTAAACCAATTTTGTAAGTAAAGCTTGTAATCCTGAAAATTTGGAATAAATATTTTTAATATTAAATTATTTATTAGCTGTAATTAAACACTAAATTTCCAGTATTACTAGTAAAGTATAATTGTTGTAAATATATAATTCTAAAATTTCAGTATAATCAGATTTATATTTGTGAAAATTGCCTTCTTAGATAAATTACTGTTAACATCTAATTTCCAATGCAGATTAACATCTCATAATTAGATATATAAAAAATTAACCTTGCGAATTATTTATGTAAAATTAATCCTTTTTTAAAATTGGAAGGAACTCTTTCCACATCTCCTTGAATATTATGACCTCTTAAAAATTCCTGGATACGATTTACATTACCTGTCCCTTGACCAAACAACTTATTCACGTCTTTGTTGCTTTGTGTGCAACAAGTACTTTCCAACTCTTAGTCATTTGATGAATCATAAATGAACAATGCATCTTGTAAGCCATGGACAACCTAAAGGAAAATCTAAAGAACAAAATTCAAGGGTGTTTGATGATTTTTCTCTTCTCCCATCACAGTAAAAGCAACCTCTTCTTGATGGAATAAATTTAAGGGATTGCATGTCAGATAGAGAGTAATTAATTGTATATAAAAATAATTTTTTTTTATAAATAATAAAGATGTATAAAATCATTAGTCACGTGATAGTGTAATGTCAGATCTTTTGCTTCCCCCCACTCCTAAAATATTACGTAATATATGTCATGGCCTTTATATAAAAAATAATAATAATAATAATAAATTAAAAATTTCTGTTTATCTTAGTAACAACAACATTCTTTTTTTTTATTGACATGAACTTTTTTTGCTAATTTATTTTCTTTAGTGGTTTAAAAACAAGATCATTTAAACTCTTTTAAATTTTGGTTAAAAATTATTTTTTTCGAAAAAATACGGTAACAAATAAATAATGTCATAAAATTGTATGAAATGATAAAGTAAAAATAGGTAATTCAACTAAAAATTTCTTTTTACTCAATCTGTAAGTTAATGAATATTTATACTATATTTAAACTTTCAGATATTCCAAAGTTTTAAAAATATAAAAATGTATAAAAATCACATGTTAAAAATAATACGGTCACATATATTACTGTTTATACACTACTGTTTTGAACCCGTCATTAAGTTTTTTATTTTATTATCAAGATTTCTTGCTTCAGTTTCGTCCTTACGACCGATTATTTTACTAATCTCAATTTTGAGGAATTGAAATATTCAAACTTTTCACATTTTCGGGATTTGAATTTTGTTAAGAGCTGAGAAAGTTTTTTTTAGATATATTATGTTAAGAAAGATATTTTTAAATACATTTATTATATAAATAACTTCCATATTCGTAAATAAAGATGAAATTATTTTACCTCATAATTCCTGGGATTGATTATCTGGATCGGCTTTCCAACGGGATTATGGGGAAACTTGTAGATTACGCTCAAACGACATGTGCATTAATAATCATTGTTATTATGGTATTAAACATTACTATAATTTATTATTCTATTTTACTTAATAGTAATTTATTTTTCAAAAACAAAAAGCAGTCCCCTTCCGGTGAATGAGCTTCTTAACGTTAATGATCGTCAGTTCGTCACAACTCACAACAGTACCATCGATGCTTTACAACGTTTATTTAAATTTATTTATAATTAAAACACTAAAAGATTTGTTGGTTGCCGATCGTACTAAAATAGAAAAGCTTGATTTGAAATGTATTTATATAATCAGCAAATCAATACCAAAGATGGGGGATCAGCATCTTAAAATGGAAATCACTCAAAAACTAATCTTATGTTAACGTTAAGTTAACGTTAATCTATCATGACATGTCAATCATTTCAAGTCATAACAATAACGTGACGCGCCACCCACCCACCCATAGGGTGATATTGCACTTATATAGAATGATCTTTCTTGCTTAAAAATTATGGGATAAAATTTTTAGCAAATCATGTGAAAACTGAATAATTTTTTTGTTAGCCAAAAATGATCAACAACCGGATGACAAATTTTAATATTATGTAAATAAACAATTTGTTTGTATTACTTATTTAAATATAGATACATTTTTTTTTTTATTTTGAACCAAAAAATAAACAATAATCAAATGGTAAATTTTCATTATCGTCGTCATTACATTATCGTTATAATTAAAGTTCCCTGCCGAAATTAGGGAGTTTCGGCATGTCAAAATTGTCAAAACTATTTTGACATGTCAAAATTGTCGAAACCTAAAAATATTACATTT